CTGTTTTCTCCGTTGTTTGTGCTTTCTGTTCTGTGTAGAAAGTCTTTGCCAGACCTAAGGTCACAAAGGCATTCTCCTCCTCCGAGTCTTCTTCTGAAGACTCGTTCTACTTTTCACACTTGTTGTTATGATCCATCTACAGTTTAGTTTTGTGTATGGTGTGAACTTGGACTCATTTTCTCTCCTATGAATGGAATTGACCCACTATCATTTGTTGAGAAGCAGCCCTTCCCCCAGATACGGCTTTGTCATCCGTCAGGTGAAAGCTGTACTTGTGGGTCTGTCCTCTTCACCATCCGTGCTTGCTGAGTTGCTGGAGCTTTACGAGTCTGTGTTGGATGTCAGTCCTCCAGCTCTGCGATTGCGCCTCAAGATTTCCTTGACTATTCTTTTTTTTTTTTTTTTTTTTTTGCGGTACGCGGGCCTCTCACTGTCGTGGCCTCTCCTGTTGCGGAGCACAGGCTCCGGATGCGCAGGTTCAGCGGCCATGGCTCACGGGCCCAGCCACTCCGTGGCATGTGGGATCTTCCCGGACCGGGGCACGAACCCGTGTCCCCTGCATCAGTAGGCGGACTCTCAACCACTGCGCCACCAGGGAAGCCCTCCTTGACTATTCTTGGCCCTTTACATTTCCAAGTAAACTTACTTATTTATTTTTGGCTGCGTTGGGTCTTTGTGGCTACAGGTGGGCTTTCTCTAGTTGCGGTGAGCGGGGGCTACTCAGCTACTCTTTGTTGCAATGCGCAGGCTTCTCACTGCGGTGGCTTCTCTTGTTGCGGAGCACGGGCTCTAGGTGCGTGAGCTTCAGTAGTTGTGGCACATGGGCTCAGTAGTTGTGGCTCGCGGGCTCTAGAGCGCAGACTCAGTAATTTTGGCGCATAGGCTTTGTTGCTCCGTGGCATGTGGGGTCTTCCCGGACCAGGGCTCGAACCCGTGTCCCCTGCATTGGCAGGAGGATTCTTAACCACTGCATCAACCAGGGAAGCCCTCCAAGTAAACTTTAGAATCAGCTTGTCCATTTCCAGAAAAAAATCCTTCTGGGATATTGATTGGCAGCGCACTGAACCCATTGTCCAGCTTGAGGCGAATCGGTGTCGTTGCATTTATGGGATCTTCCAGCTCATGACCCTGGAATATCCCGCCTTTGAAGGCCTACTTTAGTTTCTCTCAGTGACGTTTTACGCTTTTGGGTCCAGGAGTCTTGAGCTTCTTTCGTTAGATTTATTCCTATTGTAATGGAATGATTAAATTTTTCTCTACTCAATTGTTGCTTGTAAATAGAAATGCAATTGATCTTTTAAATGGTGACTTTGTATCTAGTGATCTTGTTAAAGTGACATATTAATTCTTTTTGGTCTATTAATGAGTAGTTTTGGACATCCTGTGCACAAGTTGAGCCCCTGTGGGCAATGACGGTGTTGCCTTGGCCTTTCTAGTTCTCACACCGTCGGTTTCCGTTCTTGTCTCACTGCACAGGCTGGAACCGCCACTGCAGTGTGAATCCTTCTCTGTCTCAGGTGGAAAGCAGTTGGTCTTGAAGTACGCTGTTTACTGTAGCTTTTTTGCTTCTTTTATGGTAGAAATTCTTTGTCATAATGAAGTTCTGTTTCTAGTTTGCTGCAAGTTTCGCACCACGGGTTGGCTTTTTCTGCTTCATCGAGCTGACCATACAGTTTCTCTGCCCTCCTCCACTAATTTGATGAATTACATTGATTAATTTTCAAATGTAAAGCAGCCCTTGCATTCGTGGATTAAATCCCACTTGGCCAAGATATCTTTTCAATAAACGCCTGGATTCTAGTTGCCAGTATGCTGTTTGGGGTCTTCGCGCCTGTGCTCGTTAGAGAGATGGCTCTGTAATTCTTTTGTTTTGTATTGTTTTTGTTTTTGTTCTGCGGTACGCGGGCCTCTCACTGTTGTGGCCTCTCCCGTTGCGGAGCACAGGCTCTGGACGTGCAGGCTCAGCGGCCACGGCTCACGGGCCCAGCCGCTCCGCGGCATGTGGGATCTTCCCAGACCGGGGCACGAACCCGTGTCCCCTGCATCGGCAGGCGGACTCTCAACCACTGTGCCACCAGGGAAACCCTGTAATTCTTTAAGAAAGGAGCTCGCTGCGCACTCATGAGTGTGCTTTGCTGACAGCCTCCACCTGGAATTCAGCTTCCGGGTGCGGGTTACACGAGGCATTGGGACCAGGCCTGTGTTCCATTCAGCACAGACTTCCCTTGTGAGGGAGCCTGCAGGGACTGCGGCCGGACGGCGTCACCCGCATTCACTGTCCCGCACTTCCCGGGAGCCCTTCTTGTGCCTCACTCTGCCTCGGTGCTTCCTGAAGACCCCAGCCTGTGGTCCTTCTCTCCTTGTCTTGCGTTTTAAGTCTGTATCCACTACACCCGTAAGACACCACTCACTATTCTTGCTTTTTAAGTCAGGAGTCGTGCTGTTTTTTCTTTCCTTTGCAGAATGTTCCTTCCTGCCACTCCGCGTTTCCCACTGTAACCTCTCCTGCTGGCCGTGGGACTGCCCGCATCTTCCTTTGTGAAGGCGGACAGGCATCTGTCAGCACTCTGAAGACTTTTGTGATATCTTTTGAGGAGTGAGATGCCAGATTATTGCTCCTCTCTGGATGAGGATGTGTCTTTTTCCCTGTGATAGCTTTTTGGCTTTGGCTTGCATCTGTCTTACTGTGATGTACATATTTAGCTGTTATGTTCTTTGAAAGTTTCCTGCTTGGGGTCCACAGGGCTTCGTAGATCAATGGAATGGTATCTTTCATCAGTTTTTGGAAAATTATAGCCATAATTTCTTGATATAGTGCTTCTTCCCCATTTCTCTCTCCTATCCTCCTGGGAGTCTGATTACATTTATATTAATACCTTTTCTGAGTCCCACGTGCCTTTTTTATATTTTGCTTTCTTTTTTAAAAAAGTAATAATTGATTAATTTTGGCTGTGTCGGGTCTTAGCTACAGCATGCGGGATCTTTCATCGTGGTGCGTGGGCTCTTCGTTGCAGCCCACAGGCTTCTTTCTAGTTGTGGCACGTGGGCTCTCTAGTTGTGGCATGCAGGCTCAGTAGTTGTGGTGCACGGGCTTAGTTGCCCTGCGGCATGTGGGATCTTACTTCCCCAACCAGGGATTGAACCCGCGTCCCCTGCATTGCAAGACTGATTCTTAACCACTGGACCACCAGGGAAGTCCCATGGCATCCTTTTTATATATATACTTCAGTTTGGAGATTTTCTGTTTTCCTTTATTCACATTTTATAAAACTGGTGTGATCTGTGTGACCCTCTCCTCTTGTGGGGAGGTCCCCAACCATGGGTTTTGTCTTATGTGGCGACTTGGGGGCTCTGCCTGGCCTTTCAGAGGTTTCCACCCGCTGTGCATGGCCCCGAGATTCAGCAGACTCCTCTTGAAGCCCCAGTCTCCGCGCCCCAGCAGCAGCACTCCGAGGGGCGCAAGGCCGTGAGATGTTCGTCTCCTGTGGGTGCCAGACGCTAAGCCCCGCCCCCCCCGCTTTTGTAAGAGCAGCTGCCGAAGGTCAGCTCACCTCCCAAGGGTTTCCCCAGGGGTCTTAACTCCTCTAGTTGTCTTTGCTGCTTCCGACAGATGGTTTTGCATTTTATCCAGTCTTAAGTCATTTTGGGTGCGAGTGCTGGTCTGCCACCACTGCTCTTTCCTGTGTGGAAGCAGAGTCTCTGACCTTTATGCTTTTAAGATTCATCCGTATCATTGTGTATAGTTGTAGCTCATTCATTTCTGTTGAGGAATGAATATTGAATATTTCAGAATATATGTCTCCATTATACTGTTGATGGACTTTTGGGTCATTTCCAGTTTTAATTGTTACAGACAGTGCTACCGGGAACATTCCGGTATGTGCTACCTGGTGTGTAAGCGTGCATTTTTGTAGGGTATGTACTTAGGAGAGGAGGTGCTAGCTAGTTCTGGGATTATGACATCTTTACATTTATCAGATAATTCCAGACTTTTCCAGTTTGCACTTACCTGATCAGTGTATGAGTCCCACCTTCTCCCTGTCATTGGCAGGCTTATTAATTTTGGCTAATCTGGTGAGAATATGGTGACAGTCGTTGTGGTGCTAATTTGCCTTTTCCTGATGACTAAGTAGGTTGAGATCTTTTCCTGTTTTTGATCATTTGGGTTTTCTCTTTTGTGAAGTGTTGTTGAATCTTTTGCACATTTTTATACAGGGTTATTTGTGGGCGTTTTGTGTGTTCTGGATGCCAGTCCTTGTTGGTGGCTTACTGTGCGCCCTGGCCGCCCACGGCCCTGCAGCAGGCTTCCCTCCTCCCCTCCTGGGCTCTAGCTCTGCTGTTCTCCCACCGGCGTTTAGACTTGCCGCCCACCTGGAGGGAGTTTAGTTTGCGTGTGTGGTGTGCGCCTGGCCTCCAGGTCAGTTCTTCAGGAAAGATGGCAGTTGTCCCGTTCTTGTCCCCTCGGTGCTACCTGTGTTGTAAGTGGAGTTGTCCACACGGGGGTGGGTCTGTTTGGGGTTTTTTGTTTTATCACGTTGATTTATATTCTACCCTTACGCCAATAGCACGCTCTTTTTTTTTTTTTTTTTTTTTTTTTT